CACCCAGGCGAACACGTAATCTTTGACTAAACAATTATCAGCTGAACAATGCATGCTAAACACGGAAATATCATTTTGACTAAACAATTTCATTTCTTATCATACAGATAAATTCAAAAGAGCAACATTATATTGTATGATTATAGGATAGTGTGAAGTACCAAATACAATTATGATAAGAATAACAAGAGAAATAAAAATAAAATCCATTAATGTGAACTAGTAACATTGTGAACTAAAAAAAAATTGTGGAAATGTAAGTTATATTTATGTTCTAATAAAGGCATCAACCCCTGTAAATAGAAACATTTAAAAGAAGTAAACACATTTTTCAGTACAAAAATACGATATGAGATTTCATGGAACTGAAATCCAGAACTCTAATATGCATTACTGATTTATAAAATGAGGTAGGTATACCTGATAAATAGCTGTTCTGAGCTAAACATTTGAATATCAAAGATTTGTGTTTGCAGGAGTTCATTACAATACTGTAACAGAAAACTGACACAGGTACGACCATTCAGTTCATTGTTTCAGAAATCATGGACAATATGTTACCAGTTCACTTTAAATCAATTCATTGATTTTATAATCAATTCATTTCATTGCGATTACTGAATTCTACACACAATTAAAATTATGAGTGGGGTTTTCTATATGATGTTCAGAATGTTTACAATTAGGGGGGGGGGGGCGGGGGACCCCCCCCCCCTGGAAGAAAAAAACGTGTAAAAACACGTGATTTTTTTAACTTTTTGGGGGGATGGGCCCCCTGACCCCATCTAACCAGCTTGTCGGTCCCTGTATCCAATATAATTTTGTAGGATAAAAGAAATAATTACAGTACAGGTTATTTTCCTTCTTTTTTTGTTGCAAGCATCGGTAAAGAAATACATCTAATATTATCTTTTGTACATCAAACTAATCACTAGGTATAACTGACCCCAAACAGACGTTTTGAATTGCCCCTACCAAACAACTACCACCCCCAATGCACATATGCAGTGAGTGTGCTTGGTACTTGACGATCAAGACTTGACTCTATACACTCTATTTACAACAAATATTCCAATTTTGGTTCATAGAAGTTTTAGCTGAAAATATTATATACCAAAGGTCATGCACTTATATAGCCTTCGCCAAAATTAGAAACATGTTCCTGTCCAGCTTTGTACTATGTCTGCTAGTGCGTTACATATTCCATTTCTATATTTCCCTGTAATATTTAATTGCTTATGTAGCCATCATATATAATAGCAGTGTATTTCAAAGATTTTTATCGATCGCAAGTTCGGTAGTGAGCGCAAATCAATGGATGGCATTATACAGACCGGTCATGATTAATCATAACTCTCTATATGCTGCTAATGTGTGATTTTCATTCACAGACCATGAAAACTATTCTCATCTGGATTTGTATGTGGCCTACGGCATTGAAAATAGATGTACCAGTTCTAGTGCTTCCTTCATATAAGTGCAAATTGTATCTACTGCATCTGAAACGAAGTGAAAGCAAAAACATCATCATAATCATTACCACTGAAGTGTAGGTTATTCCTGTAGATTCTCCTGTGCAATGTTGTGACATGTACATCATCTGGTATGGTGCTTGGTTGGAAAATTCTTTAAAACACGGAGTGGAGTTGCATTTGCTGGTATCAAGAACAATTGTTAAAATGAATTATGTTATAGGATGAGGGACCAAGGATACTAAAGTGTGGCCTTTAAAACACACTTTGAGTACAGACAATGGACAAAAATAAGCTAAATGTGTGTGCACTGTTCCCCAACTGGTAGACTTCTCATGAGATTACCAGGCGCGGATCCAGGATTTCTTAGGGGGGGGGGGCCCAAATTTGAAATTATGTGAGCCAAATATTGGTACGTAATGGCGACCAACAGTGGCGTAATGCGGGGGGGGGGGGTCGGTGCAAGGGGGCGAGTTTCCCCATCCCAGGCTTTGAAGTTTCATTATGTTATTAGAGAAGAAGACAATTCATTGTACCGTTCTCGAAAATAAAGCTCATCGGAATTTAATTCCCCCTCCATCCCGCGCGAAGCGCAGAAACTATTACGTTTCATTAAATCATTAAAGATTCGTATTACCGTTCTCGCCTCTGAATCCTCGTCTGAATTCAGTCCCCCCCCCCCACCCCTCCTGCGCGAGGCTTTGACGTTTTATTATTAGAGAAAGAAAACGATGCATTGTACCGTTCTCTATACTCTTAATCCTTGTCTGAATTTCAAAGATGTTCTTTGTCTGCTCCTTTTTCTTCCTACGTCCTCTTCCGATTGGAGGGGGACCCCCCCCCTGGCTACGCGCCTGCGGTCAGATAAACACATCTTGATACCTTGTCCGACCCCGCAAGCTCAGGGGTTTAAGGCAATAAATTACGATCAGATAAGCATTCAGGGGCCGCCTTAGGGCCCCTGGTGGGGTCGAGGCGGCGGAGCCGGCCCCGGAAGCTCAGGGGTTTTAGGCGTTTAATAAAGGTCAGATGAGCACATTTTTATGAATACTTTATTATTTTGTGACACTGGCAAGTCACTATTTGGCGTGGGGTACAGGGGGCGGAGCCCCAAAAAATCAGGGTTTTAGGCATTAAATTACCGTCAGATTATCATCTAAGGGCCCACAGTAGGGCCCTAGATGGAATCCAGGGGGCAAAGCTCCCAGAAGCTTAAGGGTTTTAGGCATTTAATCACGGTCAGATGAGCACATTTTGATGCCTCATTATTTTGTTAACACTGGCAGTTAACTATTCTCACTTTCTTGCTCTCATTCTATTTTATTTCTCTTTGATATACTTTGTCAAGAAAAGTGGGGGGGGGGGGGGGGGGGAGCTCGAGGCTCTCGATCCCCGCTGTACCTCGGTCCCTGACATGTACGAATCTCAAGAATCATATTTTTTGCCTAGTTGTAAATTTAGAAATTTGTCATTTTTCAACAAACACATACAAACGTGTAATTTACTAAAAAGTGAGGAAAAATTTCGGAAATTATGTCATTTCAGCATTATTTGTAATCCACCGTTGTGGAACTAGAAATAAACGACGTTTGAATTTGATTTCCCCAAGCCCCCCCCCCCCTCTATCAGTACGCCAGTATCTCCTCTTTCCTTTTTTTTTTCCCTTTCCTTCCTTCTCTCTTATTTTTTTTTGATGGGGGGGGGGGGGGGGGTAAACAGCCTGGGAGGCAAGGCCCTTTCGGCCCCCGATCTCCTTCTTCCCCCTTTCCTTTTCTTCTTCCTCTTCTTTCTTTCCCTTTTTCTCCTTTTTCCCTTTCCCTTCTTTTCCTTTCTTCTTTTTTTTTTTTTTTTTTTTTTTTTTGCGGGGGGGGGGGGGGGGGGGCCAAGGCCCGCTCGGCCCCCCCCCCCTGGATCCGCGCCTGGAGATTACTTCAGTCTCCCTTTTTGCTTGAAAGGCAACTTATTCCCTATCAGTTAAACAGGAGGGTCTATATATCCAATGCCATCTCAGCTCAGCATGATGATCATTTTCATAGCCCCCCCCCCCTTGGCCATGCTGGCCTTGGACTTGGAGCCTGAAGCTGTTTACACCCCAAGCACACCTTTACAAGTAAAGTCACAGGGACTCAGTTTTGTCTAGATCCTGATCTACTCACCTCTAAATTACTGACTAGTGGCTGACATAAATTGATAATTATAAAATGATGATCTAGAGTTATAGACTCTAAATTAAATGTATTAGCTAAACTACTAATACTAAAAGTACAAGTAAAACTAAAACTAAAACAAAAGTAGGGTCTAAACTCAAAGTCTAACTTCCGTTAAAAGTAAAACTTCACTGCAAAAACCAGAGTGTTAAAATTAACACCAAGGGTGTTCAATTTAACACTTTCTTGGTATCTATATCGGACAACTCCTCTGGTGTTACTTACTCCTACTGGTGTAGATTAACACCAATATCTGGAATCATAACAAATTCAATTCCATTTTTTTTTTTTTATGGGTTTCTAATGGTCCCACATTCCATATTTCCTATTATCTACCATTATCGACCAGGGTAGAAGAACCAGTGGTAAACTGATAATTCACAATCGATCTTGGAAACTGTCCACCGATAGGTATATTCTAATCTCCATTGCATTAACTTCATCACATAGATCATTTGAAGTATATTTAAGATAAACATTTAAGTGATACAGGCTGATACACGAATATATAATAAACATGCATTTCGTTTCTTGGTTAGTAATCATAATATAATCAATATATCTATTGCTAAAACGTTAATGTAATTGTAACAAGATCGGACAAATAATCTATTGGTCAATAATTGCCAAAGGAAAATACAAATCACAAAATTGATGTGCATTGTCATAATTTGCTTAACAAATCATGAAAAATGTATTTTTCTGAGAACACGTGTAAAGTAATCATTAATCGCGCGTACACTTTATGAAAACTTATTCGACCAATCAACCGCCTTAAATGAAATCACGTGATGATACTTTCAACACCGAGCATAAAACTGCACCATGTTATTTAACACCCAGTAATTATTAATGCATGCTTAAATCTGACCGGTGTTAAAAAATAACACCACTGAGACTATAATCAACACTAATGGTGTCAAACAAATTCAATACCGTACTGGTGTAAGAATTTCTACACCCTGGTTTTTACAGTGTTCGTTCTTATTTTAACTTAAGCAGATTTAAAAAAAACTTAAAGGCGTAAAGGTTTATAATTACGTTTGTGGCATGAGTTAAATCCAGGATTTTGCTTCGGGATCTGAGGTAATGTTACTGGGACACTGTAATCTAGATAATGATAAATATATAACTGAGTATAATTTAGTCTATTTAGTTGGGAGGAATTTTGGAAATAATCAATACGGACCGCACGCATGTGCGTGCGTCGGGTGGCTTTCCATGCTCGCATGTACATGCGTGCGCCGTATATAAAGAGGCTTAATCCCGCCGCCTCAGTCAGAACGCAGAACACAGAACCAGAGTTGCACTACGAGAAGTATTAATATACGGAGATATCGGAACATCACAGCATCGCATCGAGGAACATTGGACTACAGTACAGTGCAGTTATATCGGTGAGTCCTTAATGCTAGGAGTCCACTGGGCGGCGCCAGTTGGTGCCAGTTTGCGCCAATGCAATTTACTGTGGCGCCTAGTGTCGCCAATAAGGTGCCTAGTGGCGTGTAGTGGCTCAAACTGCCTCCCAACTGGCTTGTGGTGGCCCGTAACGGCACCAAATTTGAATGTGGCGGCAAGAAAATTTCAAAATGTTTGAAATTTTCGTCGCGCCACTTGCATCGAGCAATCAGCGCCAAGTGTCCGCATATTGGAATCCACTGGAATGTAATGGCGCGCCAAGTTGCGCCAATGAGATTTCGCGCCACATGGCGCCACTTGGCGCCAAGTGCGCGCCAAATGTGCAGTGGCGCGAGCCAAACGGCACCCGATTGGTGACTACTTCGCGCCAAATGCCACCTGGTTGCCCGCCATTCGGCGCCACTTGCCGCCTATCAAAATTGTAGTAGAGATGTTGTTCATACAGCAGCTGAGGAGGGTCTGAACCAGGTAGCCGATGGCCGGTATTTATATAGTTGGCAAGTAGCGCCAAGCGGCGGCAAGTTCAAACCAATTTGGCGACCTTTGGCACAAACTATTCACCAAGTGGCGCAAAGTAGCCGTCTATTGGCGCGAATGGCGCCAACAGGGTGAATTTTGGAATCAAATGGCCGTGTAATGGCGCGAACTGGCGCAAACTGGCGCAACATTTTGGAGCAAGCCGGGTGGCATTTGGCGCACGCCATATGGAACCCAGTTTATTCCACTTGGCGACACATGCCGAGCGGACATTAATTCGGCGCCACAGCGAGCCACTACGCGCCAATCACATAATCTTTGGCGCGAACTGGCACCAACTGGCGCTGGCCCAGTGGACTCCTAGCATCACGTAGAGTTTTTAGTGATCGTCAACGAAACGGAGTTAAGTCTTTTGTCAATTCCGTTTGTTGCTACGGCAGGAAGCCAGTAAAAACGAACTTTTAAAATCAAATAATGGAAATGCAAGCATCACTTTAAACAAACACAACTTTGTTATTCCTTGGTCATTTGTCCTGATTGAGGTGTCATATGAAGGGGCAGAAACTGAACGTTCTTGAAATGGTCTGATTGACCACATTGATGTGTAAGAGGGATTATTTGAATAATCTGTAAAAGCCATGAAATAGTTATGTCATTATGACATCATGTAGAAAGGAGACCGAAGGAGGCTCTCTATGTTAAAGGTACTATGTCCCATTTGCAGGCCAAAAAATGAAAAGGTTTAATTCCAACGGCATTTGAAAGATAATACTAATTTAGAACTTCCCTGAAACAGGTAGGGCTTGAAAATGTCTTCAAGTTGGAAAATTAACGACTATTAGTTGTCAAATCGACTTAGGAGCTATAGAGCCAATAAGTAATAGTCTTGATTTTCAGACCATTGTACTGAATGGTCATACGTTTTATGCTGCGGAATGATTCAATCAGTTTAATTTTGGTCATCACAAGAAGTGGGTTATTGATGTAGACAAAATGCTCATGTACCCTTTACAGCTCATTTTATGTTTGTTGTTACCAAAGAAGAACCAAAGCCAGTTAGTCACCCAATAGTGTCTGATAGTGAAGTCTTGCAAGTAAAACGGGTTTCCTTGCATATTTTGAATATTAGGACACTGCTAACGTTTAAATTTCACAGATAAGACATACATGACATATTCATAATTCCTGCAAAGTTCTACAGAATTTGGGGTTGGCTGCAAAAGGGAAATAGTACCTTTAAGTTGAAGACAAAATCATCACCCGACATTAAATTTCAGGATTCTACAAGTAACCTTGCTCGCAGCCTAACGAATTATCTTCTCTAAATTAAAAACGTTGTGTTATTGAACTGATTGTGTATGTAGTGGGTTTTTCTAGGGGTGTCTTCTTTTTAGTTTATATTATCAAAACGATTTGGGTTAACTCATGGACCCTAGATTTGTTAACACAAAGAGAGAAAGAGAGAGAGAGAGAGAGAGAAAGAGGGAGAGAGAGAGAGAGAGAGAGAGCACGCGAGAGAGAAGTCGAGAGTGAGAGGAGTATGCAAATAAGATATTTCATAAGGCTGGGCTTGTATACAACGATAAAAGAAGAAAGAAAAACCTATTTGAAAGAAACATTCTGAAAGGAAACGTACCTTGATTGAAATCATTTGTAAAAATTTGTGATCACTGATTGTATCCTGAGGACCAGGGGCGTACGCAGGATTTTTTCAAGGGGGGTGTTAAAATCTGGCGAAATTTTTTTTGCTCCCGAAAATTTGAAAATCGCGCCGGCCGAAAAGTCGCTCAGTTGGGGGGGGGGGGGGGGGGGGGGGGGGGGGGGGGGGGGGGGGGGGGGTAAGCGGACACTTTTGTGTTTTTTTTTGGTCTCGAAATTTGAAAATTTGACATTTTTTTTCGTTGGGGGGGGGGGGGGTAAGGTCACTTTACGTTAGCCGTGGGCATAATTTTTTTTTTTTTTAAATTTTTTTAAATTAAAAACAAAACAAAACAAAAGGGGGGGGGTTAGTTTTTTTTAGGGGGGTTTACACACATATAAATACCAAGGGGGGGGGTTAAACCCCCAAACCCCCCCCCCCCCTGCGTACGCCCCTGCTGAGGTGCGTGGGTGCTTAACTAGAAGCTCAAAAACATATTTGTCGAAAAGATTCTTTACAGTTAAATCACAATGGAAAACTATTTTAAGTGTAAGCATGTACAAATCTGGGTATTACTTTGTTCAACTTCGATACAAACATTCCTCGCCAAAATAATATACGAGCAAACTCAGACAGACATAATTATAACTGCAGTGAAAAAAAAGGGAAAACGATATTTTGGCTTCTGGTTATGACACTCTACCAGATATTCAGGTCTACCATCTTTTATAAGCCTGATATGTATAGTGCGACCCAGACAAAACGAAACTGAGAATTATCGATGTTTTATCATAACTTAATCACAATTACAAAAAGTTAACAAGTTCGTTTTCACTGGCTGCCTGCCGTAGCGACAAGCAGAATTGACAAAAGACTTAACTCCGTTTCATTGACAATCAGCCATGCATGAAGTATTTCGTCTATGTCTGATCGTCAACGAAACGGATTTAAGTCTTTTGTCAATTCCGTTTGTTGCTACGGCAGGAAGCCAGTAAAAACGAACTTTTAAAATCAAATTATGGAAATGCAAGGATCACTTTAGACAAACACAACTTTGTTATTCCTTGGTCATTTGTCCTGATTGAGGTGTCATATGAAGGGGCAGAAACTTTTTCCTTTTGAAATTCAGATACCGCACGTAAAATGACTTTTTGGTTTCCTTCCTTCAAATTGCTTTTAATCTCTCATACGTGAATTATGCATCATACGAGTTCCATCCCCGGCCCCCCACTCAGGTTTCAAAATGACCGCATGCGTGTTGCCAAAATGTCCTTTTCGTAACAAAAGAAAAAGGTCGAGCCGTATTGACTTTACACACCGGACTTTTGCTGAAAAGGGGGGGGGGGGGGTCCGGAAAAAGGCTCGTATACAAAAGAAAAAGGTCGAGCCGTATTGACTTTACACACCGGACTTTTGCTGAAAAGGGGGGGTCGGTTGGAACACGCATATGCGTACCCTAAATAACACTGAGTGGGGGGGGGGGGGGGGGGGTTCCATCAATGAAAGAAGAGGATCTAAGCTTTAAAAATATGTGTAATTTATTAATTATAATTGTAATTAAGTTATGATAAAACATCGATATTTCTCGTTTTTGTTTTTTCTGGGTCGTACTGTATTTCAAAATGTAATTCAGGAAATAAAGTGAAACCCCTAAAATGTAAATACAGAACTACATTTACGCATTTAGCTATATGGTATGCTATACTTGTATCTAAGAGGGCTTCACTTCATGAACGACATGGTCTGATTGACCACGTTCACGTGTAAGAGGGATTATTTGAATATTCTTTGAAATTGTAAAAGCCATGATATAGTTATGTCATTATGACATCATGTAGAAAGGAGACCGAAGGAGGCTCTCTATGTTAAGTTGAAGACAAAATCATCACCCGACATTAAATTTGAAGATTCTACAAGTAACCTTGCTCGAAGCCTAACGAATTTGCTCCTCTAAATATAAAACGTTGTGTTATGGAACTGATTGTGTATGTAGTGGGTTTTTCTGGGGGTGTCTTCTTTTTAGTTTATATTATTAAAACGATTTGGGTTTACTCATGGACCCTGGATGTGTTAACACAAAGAGAGAGAGAGAGAGAGAGAGAGCACTCTAGAGGGAAACCCTAGATACCACACAAATCTACGGTAAAAGAAGAAAGAAAAACCTATTTCAAAGAAACGTTCTGAAAGGAAATGTACCTTGATTGAAATCATTTGTATAAATGCTGTTCACGCTAGTAGGTTTTACATCAAAACAAATTAATCATTTCGTGATCATTGATTGTATCCTGAGGGGCCTGGGTACTTAACTAGAAGCTCAAAAACATGTTTGTTGAATAGATTCTTTAGAGTAAAATTACAATGGAAAACTTTTTGAAGTGTAAGCATGTCCAAATCTTGTTATTACTTTGTTCCACTTCGATACATACATTCCTCGCCGAAAAAATATACGAGCAAACTCAGACAGATATAATTATAATTGCAGTGAAAAAAAAGGGAAACGATATTAGGGCTTCTGGTTATGACAATTTACCTGATATTCAGGTCCACCATCCTTTACAAGCCTGATATATACAGTGCGACCCAGAAAAAAGGAAACCGAGAATTATCGATGTTTTATCATAACTTAATCACAATTACAACAAATTAACAAGTTCGTTTTCACTGGCTGCCTACCGTAGCGACAACCAGAATTGACAAAAGACTTCATTGACAATCAGCCATGCATGAAGTCTTTCGTCTATGTATGATCGTCAACGAAACGAAGTTAAGTCTTTTGTCAATTCCGTTTGTTGCTACGGCAGGAAGCCAGTAAAAAACGAAATTTCAAAATCAAATTATGGAAATGCAACCTCACTTTAAACA